GTTCAAATGCGCTTCACATCTTCAAAACAATGTCAAATGGCTTATTTGAAAAGAGTTGATTCCCAAGGGGTCTGATTCGCCTCATTTCATTCGTTGTTCRAAAGGTCAGATAATTGGCATTCAATACAAACATAAATTTACTTCGTCCGAAGTATGCATCATCTAACGGCTCGTTCGTGATAATCAGTCACATATTTCAACCAAAAAACTCTTATAATTGCTAACTTATTTGGCTATCTTAAACGTGGCTGTTAGAGTGGATAATATGAAGCTATGAGAGTAGATCGACACTGGAGGTGACGGATGAATAAGTACGTCGCTAAGAATGCAAAGTCAGACCGGACGCCGAAACTATATTGACAGTATAGTCATACAACCTGATTAATTGGTGAGTATATAGTGATATAAATTGCACTATGCTTTAAAAAAATCACAGTTATTTAGAGGCGTGACAATGTGGCATTTAAGTGTGAAAAAGTGATAAAGAATTACGATCGACATATATGATTTGCTCACAAACGTGCTATTTCCGCGTAGTTCAGCTATAATTTTGAATTCCAGCAAGATTCTACTATTCTGTCAGCATAACACACTAGTCTGATAACTAAGTTTAATTATTAAAAGGCGCTGACACTGTGATACTTTGTTATATTCTTGTTATATTGAATCTAAGAGTGTATGTTCACTAACGTTTGTTGATATATTGTTATTACTAACGATCAAATTCAATTTTGATACATATACATAGAAGGTTATGCGGGCCTCCAGTAGTGAGCGTTCATCTGTCAATCTGAAGCATTGACTTAACTTGGAATACTAGTTGTAATTTCTTTACATTTTCTATCTGTAGGTACCTTCAAATGAAGCTATACGATACCTACAAACATGACAACCTTGCTCCATTCGTTGCTTGTCTATTTTCTCTTTAAATCCATGTTTATGACTTCGAAAGCTGATAAGGGTATGTTTAAAAAGATCCAATTAGCGACCACCTTATATGCATGCTTGTGCTTTCTATATTCACATGCTAACAAGTAAATCATTTGGATGACTTGGCTAATGTTTGTATATAAAGCAATTACTGAACTTTAAGATTAAGTTCATAAGACCTCGCGATCGTTTAATAAGTATTTCGTGTTCATCTGTTTCGGGATCCCTATACTGAATTTCTTATGAGAAGACAATCCTTTGACAAAACGTTTTTTTCGTTCCCCAAGAGTATCCACTTAATTACAGGGAATTCGACCGTATTGTTCCTTCTCCAGTTTCAGTGAAAAAAAAAAGAATAAAATGAGAATGAAATAAAGAACAACAGGGGCGGATTTAGACTAGTTCAACTAGTTTCCGGAAACTAGTGAGATTTTTCAAAAAATAGATGTAGTTGAAAGCGATACTTCAAATAAAATCATATAAACGAAAAGAATATGGAGTATTCACTGGAGTATTTTACCGGTAGATGGCAATACGATCGCTTTGGCCGCCATTTTGAAAGTTGTACCACAGGAAACCCACATTTACTACTTGGAATATAAACTTCTTTGTTCTTGTGGGAGGGGACCCATCGAAATGTTTGACACAAGACTGTCGATCACGAGCCCAGAGTCCCCCAATGGCTCTTAGACAGCGGACTATCGCTTGAGAGTGCACTAGTGCAAAATGACGTAGCACTGATTCACATAGGAATCCCGACTGGTTTCCAGATAAATTCTTGTTCACACAGGAAACCCGAAATCTATTTTCAGCCAATCAGAATCGAGCTTTGGTTTGTACGAGGGAGGGGTAGGACATAACCAGAAACTAGTCGGAAACCAGTAGAAACCAGTGATTACCCTACCCTAGTAAGGCTATGCTGTCTTCATAGCAAAGGCCTCGTGCCATTCAGTTTAGCAAAGATTTTGAAATAATTGGCCCCTAAAACAACACTAACTGAGCAAATGGAAAAAAGATCGAGGCCAGAAATACTACCAGCACTGTTTAGATCTGTTGCTCTTGTGTCGGAATGTGGATAAACCTCTCGTGAAACTGTTCAAAGGAAATTCCTGTAGTATACATTGAATTCGCCAAACAGATTCGGATTCATGCATGTGAACATTCTTCGTGCTTGGTATGTATTGAAAATAATTTCTTTTGATTTAAAAAGAATGAGAACGCTTGAACCGAATAAGTTCATATTAAACACAGTTAAGAATTGATAATTTAAATTCGAAATACAATTTTCTGGAATTCGGTTGCTAGCGTCATCTACCGAGGCGCATTGCCGTCCCTTGTGTATGTTAACAAGTTGGCTGAATCGGCTTAACTAGTTCATTAGTTTATTAGAATCATTTTGCCGACAGAAAAAAAAAAAAACATTTCACATTTATTTAAACATTTGGTTTTTTTCAGGCCGATGTTATAAATATTCATGTTTTAATTAATTAGCATATGTCAATACAACATTTTTTAGTTGGAAACTAGTCTGTAAAAATGCTAGATCCGCCCCTGAACAAGATAATTTCTTTTTACTGATAAATCACACGGTAGCCATGTTCGGTGTAACTAAGATTGCCGCCGACGTTTTCATGAATCTCAAGAAACAAGCTGCCCTTGCACTCGTTGCTTGTATTTTGCCTCAGTCGTAAAATATCATTGTGTTGCACTCAAGAAAATTTCTAATATTATGTTAATCCACCATAATTTATTAAAGTAATCTTTATATGCTTGTATCAGAAACTATTATTGAAGTGCCGAATAAGAATTCACAAGGTAAATGGATATGGTCTTGGACCAGTCAGGTAAAGAGTGCAAATTTGTGTACATCCACATATTGAATCCCAATCAATTCCGCTTTCAAAAACATCGTAGGCGCGCGTTTGAAAACAAGGTATTTTGGGGCAAAATCTTAAGCGAGCTTTCCAACTCTACCTGAAAATGCCTTGTCTTCATGCGCGCGTCTGCGATATTTGTAAAAAATTTGTATTTCACTGAGGAGTAAATTTACAAATGCGTTAAATCGTAGTAGGTGGAATCTTGACCGATATCAATGCAGCACCGGCCTGTGGCCAGCAATACAAAATATGTCATTTCTTATTAAAAATAATTTCAGAGACAAACATAATTGTGGTATCAAGAATAAAAAAATGATCTTATAGATACTTGCTATATTAAATTTCTAGTGGACTAAGAAAGATGGAGGTGGTAAAGTGTTTTATCAAGTATGTGATGTAAGCTCAGWCAATGAACCAAACAAGTGGATAAGAAGCAATGTGTTCCGAGTTGGTGATGCAAAAAGAATTGATGTTACTGTTCAATATGCAGTCTCTAAATGTTCTAGTGTGCCTTCTCTACAATACTGCAAGGAAACATTAAACCTTTATGTTTATAAGACTGCAATACAGCATACAATAAGCAATTTAGTCCCAGAACCTTGGAAAAAACCTAACTTCTATCATATATTCGGAACCACGTCTCCAACAAACCGGAGCACAGGTATTCTGTCTCGAAATTTTGCAAATACCGAGAAGCACTCATTTCTTACAAATCCTTCAACACCATACCATTACTTCGCTATACAATATCGTGGAGGGTGTTTTGAGTTATACAGTGTTACCATTAGTTACTCGGTCTGTCCATCGTTAGCTCTTCCTACTGGTCTCGTCCAATTACCTCGAACTATAGCCCCAGCTAACGGCACAATAAAAGTATCTGGAAAATGTCCGGAGAATGCACAGCCATTGGCTAACAATGCTACCTTATATGGACACTGTCAAGCTAACGGTCAATGGAGAAGTGATGTAGGTAGTACCAGGTGCTGGTGCAGAGCTAGTTATGGAAATTATTTGAATGGACCTGGTGCAGTGTGTAAAGGTAAACAGAATAGAGCGCATCCACATGGGACCATTTTTCATTCATCTTCGCGTTCTGGTTCATTGATACTGACAATTTGTCTCTAAGCATTTGTTAGCATTTAGTTATTTAATTTTTTTGTATTTAGTTTAGTTTTATTTCATGGTTTTCCTGCGTTTGCTCTGTAATGCAAAATTAGTAATTTAAAACTGTTTCTTTCTGCTTAAGAAATATAGAACAGGTGCGCGGTTTCTGTCCTCTGTGAGGTTGAAAGTACAAGAGAAGAAACACCAGGAACGCAAGCACAGAGATTGTTATTCTCTCTCCGCGTCACTCTTTGCAGCGACTAGTGATTGCTTCCCTTGTACATATTGTTAGGCCTCTCTAAATGCTGAATTTATATTAATACTTAAAAAATCATACATAATTAATGAGTTATTAGGCCAATAGAATGAGCCTATTTGGTCACATGCATGGACCTTTATATCTGATAATACACTCCGTATTATTAGTATTCTTTATATAAACTGGCAAAACGTCAAAACTTTCCACGAATACCTATTTCTAATAGTTCTTCTATATGACAGCATTGAAGTGTTTCCATACTTGTTAATTGTATAAAATCGATGGTAGACACTTATCTCAGTATGGATATTATTCAATTTTAAATCAATGTGGTTATACTACATCCATCTATACTTTGCTTCAGATTGTCCAATTGGTACATACCAAAATTCTCCAAGTGGTAGTGCATGTAAACCGTGTCCACTTAACAGCGTACAAGATGTGGATAGAAAAAAGTGCAATTGCAAGCCATTATTTTACAGAACTGACATTGAATCAGCATTTGACAATTGTACCGGTACGTTTAAAACAGAATAAACAAACAAAAGTAACTTGTTTTGAAGATTTCTGGTTGCTTCTTCCAGGGCAGCCATCGGAACCACAGTCGATTATGGCCATCTCCAAAAATGCAACATTCATAACACTGCAATGGTCAACGCCTTCAAAACTTGGTGGACGATCAGACACATACTATAACGTTCGATGTAAGAAATGCAACAATGAAGGCAAGAATTGCACTGCGGAATGCACCGGTGCTTTTATTTTCCATGCTCCAACGAGTAGTATGAAGGCAACGGTACATCATCTTTCTGCCTATACATATTACCTGTTCGAAGTATTTGCTAAGAATGGAGTCTCTCCTCAAGCAGACAAAAAAGGCGATAATCCAAAGTATTCAGTGCTTTTAAGTAGAACTGGCGAATCAAGTAAGTTAATCGCGATTATCCTAATACAAGTTATAAAAGGGTTACTCGGACGAAAATTGCGAAACATTAGAAAAGACTTGGAAATCAAATAGAACTATCCATGTGGGTCTAATAATCATGAAGCAACAGATTTTAAGAAGATATTGATGATAGAAATTTTTAATAATTTGGGCAAAAAATGCAGGAGTAGATGACGTCATTTACTCCATCCTTTTGTTCTTCAATCTTTTGAATCAAAATTTCTCTGATGTGGGACARTTCCAAAACAAATATTTTCCCGCAATTCTTTTTAATAGATATATGTGATTCATATATTTGTATTGCTTAAAGTTTTGAAATAAGGCCATTTTCATGCAAGTAGCACTTTAAGGTACACAAGCAAGGAAGCTACTTGCAATGCTTTTGCCCACCCAGCTACCAAACTGCATCTAATTTAGCTTCGTATTCTCTTATTCTCTGGCAGCTTTAAATAAGCCCTTTTAGGGATCTCTTGTACACTGTGCTATCTTCAAAACCATGTAATATATTCTCTTGTGGATTCAGTAAACCCCTTACAAATACAAGAGATCTGTGTGAATACAAGACAATAAAAATAGTTTGAAATCTCACATGTTTTATCCAAATGTTTGCATCGTTCACACTTTGACGCTAACACAGTTTAAAAGAGATCGCGAAACTGTTGTCAATTTTTCTTTCCTGACAGTTAACGTAATCATAGCCAAAAAAAAAAACACTATTGAATCTGAAAGTTGTTCTATAACCTTTCCTTAGCACCAGGTCCTGCTGTAGTAACAACGGTCAAAATACTGAACGCTACAACGGTGTTTCTAAGTTGGACCGTCCCGGAACCAAATGGTGCTATAACATACTATGAAGTAATCTACTATCCCGTCGGTCAAGAAACAGAGAAGGAGACAAAGAACACAACGTC